TTTATAAATCTGCACATGTAGTATTTTAATTAGGCATGCCAAAATAAGGCAAAATAAAACCAATAATCTTGTGCACAATAAATGAATGAAAATAATAACTGAAGTGGCCAGTTTGTTTTGACGGAAACATATGAAGACAATGATCACTGACACACATGACAGAATTACTTGAGATTTCAATACACGAGAAAACTTAGACATACATGACATAATTATATGAATTCCCAAACATAAGGAAAATGATTATCATAGACACACATGACATAATTCCACACAAACTAGGTGCACCCAAAACACAAAAATCAAGGAGTTTGATTAGGATGGCCCTTTGCATGTAAAGCACTCATCCTTTAAAGTGGATCGGAGAACACATCCTCCATAATCTCCTCATAGCTATGGGGACGGTCTCCCTCCTTTTCTGGTAAGTATGAGGCTACGTTTTAGGGTTCAGGTAGCCTCCATCCAGACTCAGGGATTCTTGTCCAGCATGGCCAGATTTCAAGTCACTGGACTTCACAGAAAGTTTTTATTTAGAGTTTTATCTTAATGCCATAATTTCCTGCATAACCTAGTTTAAGGTTGTCCAGCATCACCTGGAGGACAGCCTGGGCCTGACACCTGGACTGGGAGGAACCCATCTGAAATTTTATATGTGCCCGGGATGTATGTAATGTGTGCATAGGAGGGGGTGGAGAGTGTTAGTCACTCATTCAGATGACTTCCTGGCTGGCCATTTTTTGGTGACTTAAGAGGTCTTACCTTAGGGCCACACATGGAATCTCCATGCTCGGTCACCCGAAGGTGAATGCCCGTTTAGGTTACACAACCTCAGGAGAACCGCAGGGTGAGGCCCACTCAGATTCCGTGGCCTCGCAGATCTGTGGAACCATTACTTTCACTCTCACATTCACACACAATCATTCAGAGTTTAAGACAGTCGTTCCCTACTTATTCCCACTAAATTCCTGTTCTGCCTAAAATGGGGCCAGGACCTTGGAATCACATCAAGGTTTGGTTGTGGCCTGGTTTGCTGCCTGATTCCTGTTTTACCTTAAACAGGGCCAGCACCTCAGAATCAGGTTGAGCGAGGTTTAGTTGTGGTCCCCTTCATTCCTGACTGGAGGCCTGTGCCACCTTGGAATCACATCAAGACTTTGTATGCACCCTCCTATGGGGGGATCGGCCCGAGCCGGCTTCCACCTCTCTAACCTGGGACCCATTACCCAGGCTGGATGTCCATTCTGGATCTCCATCTCGCTTCACCTGATGAGAGGCTCCGATCCAGGGCCATGCAGCTCTCTCTCTGGCCTCCTGGAAGGAGACCCCAGAGAAAATTCTTTGGGGGTGCGCACTTCTCTGTTCCAGAGGCCAAGGGGGCTGTAGGGTCCAGGAGCATCAGCCTCTTTTACCAACGAGGGTACGGCAACTTGATCTCACTGGGGACCTCCAGAAATGTTACAGAAATAATCAGAGACCAACAGCCAAAATCAGGTGAGGAGAGGGAGTTTAATTTGACGCTAGTGGAACTGACAACAGGAATCAAGAAGTCAGACCCCCTGTTCAAGGTTTTGGGGGGCTTTTATACTCAAGTGAGGAATGTAAGCAAAAGGTACAAAGCATATACATGGTAATTAAGTAAGATAAGAGGGCGGCAAAGGTAATAGAAATGCAAAGGTTATAGGAATGCAGACTCCATTACTGGAGCTGTCAATTATCACATTGCAAAATCCTTTAGCATCTGATAAGTTCTACTTCCACAATACATCTTTGTTTCACTTTGGTCTTTACACAAATACCACCACCCCCAGGAAGCAAATGGCCACCTTCCTCTTTGTCTCTTGGGGAAGACCTTTTATTATATTGAGTTTTTCTCCTTAGCACTCATCACTATTAAACATGCCACGGATTTCCTTTTTAATATTTTTTAAAATTATCCCATCGTCCACTAAGCTTACTGAGGGCACAGACTTTGCTCTGGTCATGACTTAGAGCAACACAGTTGGTGGCTGGTTCAGCAGTTAAGAGCGCTTACTGCTCTTACAGAGGACCTGGGTTCAGTTCTCCTCACCCACACCACATGGCTCATAACCACCTATGACTCTAGTTCCAGGGGATCTGATGCCTCTGGCCTCCAAAGGCACCTGCATGCACATGGCACACATAAATCAGTAGGTACGCATGGATACACAAGTAAAAATTCTTTTTAAAAAAGATTAATTTGAATACAAGCACCTTCCCTTGAAACAGAACCTATGTTTACTTCAATAATAATCAAATTTAGTGCCGGCTCTGTCCCTTTTTTACTGTTAAATTTCTAAGACCTTTACCAATAAACTCTGATTTTATTCTTTCAATAGCATAAGTCTGAGAAAATTGAACTAAAAACCAACCTGGTATACCTACAGCTGCAAAGCCAGTTAGTACAAATGACATCTTGAATTGGCCCCAGCTCTCAACGTCTTCAAATGTCTGAACTGTATACTTTACTTGGTTGAATTTTGTGATTTATAAATCATATCTCAAGAAAGTTCTTACCTAAAGGAAAACAAAGATTTTAAAACAGGACAGATTTTTCTTTGTGTCTTTTTCTTTGCTAGCTATCAGATAAATTTTATATTTGATTTATTTAATTCTAACTATAACAAAGAGCAAAATGATTAGATAAAAGCTGATGAGAGCTAAACCTTTAACCAAACACTAGCAGTGTAAACTGCCAGACGGCAGGTCATGATGTCTATTAAATAACATATTCTGAAAGGGACTTAAAAGATGTTAGAGCTAGTGATATAATACACTCTGCCCTAATTCTTTGCCCTAATTCTCTCATTTATAAAAACAAGTTCTCTAACAATTAGCCATAACAACTGAGTCACTGTAGGTCCTGGGCTATTTTGCCCCTGCATGGTGTATCATTAAGGGCCTTGCTTTTGTGGCCTGGCAATGTTAGGCAAGCTCTCGCATGTCAAAAGCCGGGAGCGCCATTTCTTCTCACAGTAGTAAGCTCTGTTTTTACTAAGATTGAAAGAAGGTGCCACTAAAGACTCAAGTGAAGCCGGGCATGGTGGCGCACGCCTTTAATCCCAGCACTCAGGAGGCAGAGACAGGCAGATCTCTGTGAGTTCAAGGCCAGCCTGGTCTACATAGTGAGTTCCAGGACAGCTGGAGCTACAGGGAGACCCTGCTTAAAAAAAAAAAAAAAAAAAAAAAAAAAAAAAAGACAAAAGTGAAATTCCGCAACTTTGTGGGGCAGCTTAATTATTTCTTAGAAACTACTGCTTGCCATTTGATTGCATAGCACAAATTTTCCCCCCAAATTCACATATGCCCTTATGTTAGGGTACAGTATGATACATGGCATGCTACTTTCTAGAAGCTGTATTTCGGTTTTAAAAGGAATTCAGTTATAAAATATAAATTTGTTAAACAAATGTCCTCTGAGCATGAATTTGGGACAACTTTAAATTTTGAAACTAGGAGATACAGAATACTATCTTGCTCTGTAAGATCGACTTCTACTCAGTTTCAATGTATATGCACCTGTTTTTCTCCTCCTCCCTGACTGTTTCACAGAATGTGTAGAACAAAATGTTTCTTTCCTCCCTTTCCATTAACAGAGCATTCTGTACTGCTCTTTATCACTTAACTGTTTCTACTATCTCTCTCCAAGCACCGGTTGGTCAGTTATTCTTGAGGCTTTAGCATGGTGGAATGCCAACTGCCTAAAAGGCAAAAACTATGCATTTATTGAAGTAGACTCTTAGAAGTCAGCCTTCATGATCTTGACAGCAAACAAGTTACAGTCGGCTGTTTCAAGATATCTAAGACTTCTGAAGCCTCAAATTATTATTTTTTTTGTTTTGTTTTTTCTTTTGTTTTCTTCATTTATTATTGTGACTGGAGTGACTGCGGGTTAGCATCCTAACAAAACACACAAACTTCGTATGGGGCACTGTGCTTCTCACAGATGAGGAAGCTGAGTCTGGGTCAGCCAGTTCAAATTAACTAGGCTTGAGAACCAGATCACCTGGAAAGCTGTGTTATGGTTAAATAGTCCAGGAAACCTCCCAAAAATATAGGGATGGGGTGCCACTGCGAATGTGTGGGCCAAGCATAAAAAGAACTGATTTTCAGCAAATATTCATGAATGCTCTATTCGCTTTTAGTTTTATTTTATATGTATGTGTGCGTTGCCTGCATGTATGTAAGTGCACCCATGTGGTGCAATTCCCTTGGAGGACAGAAGAGGGTGTCAGACCCCTGGAACTGGAATTATGGAGAGTTGTTAGCGGCCATGTGGGTGCTGGGACAGGAACCAGGGTCTTCTGCAAAAGCAGCCTGTGTTGTTAATGCTGAGCCAACTCTCCAACCCCCCCCTCTATCCACTTTAAATTCTCTCTCTGCACCCAGCTAGAAATCTGTTAAATCTGAGCACTGAGTTGTACCCAGCTAGAAATCTGTAAGTCAGAGCACTGAGTAATGTTTTTGATTAGTGTTTGAGGGAAATGGTATGCTCCAGGAATTGAGATACTAAACACACTGCAAAAAAGTGGAAATGGTGGGGGGGGGGGGGGGGGGGGGGTGCGGAGGGATTGCTGGGAGAATTGAGTTGGACAGAGAGGGAAGAGCAAAGCCAGGCCTTTCAAAGGCTGAACATTCCTTACACCCTCTCCTTCCACTCTCACCCCATCCTCCCCAACCAGGTGGGTGCAGCAGGTCTTTGCCATCACCCTGCCTAAAACCAAGCTCTTGTATTTCTTCTAGTTTGCTTCCTTCACTGCTCTGAGCACAAGCAGTTAACTGTTGCTTATTTTCACCCAGAACCGTGGGGGCCCTTTACTGAGATCTGCAGAGCGAAAACTAGGCGCCGTATATGCTGCAAAGGCTGAATCCAAACTACTGGGTCAAAAAAGGCAGTCAGTAGTGAGGGGCTGGGTGTGCCGGCTGCCATCCCAGCACTAAGGAGGCAGAGGCAGGAGGATCACAGAAAACTGGAGGCCAACCTGGGCTACACAGCAAGTGGCAGGCCCAGTCCAAAAACACCAAGGGCAGCGCGGGCAGCGTGCAGCAGGGCCGCGGTCCCGCTCTTCCTCCGGGGAGCCGCTCGCTCTCCCTGCACCCGGAGGGACGCTCGGGGGAGTCTGCCCTTTGTCCCGGCCTTGCCACTCCCGCCGCAGCCCTCCGCAGCCCCTTAGGGGGCGCCGTGCCCCCGGGACTCCCGCGGCCGCGCCCGCCAATCACCGCGCCGCCCTGGAGGATGGGCTGGGAACACGGCCGGGCTACTCGCCTCCAGTGACCCCCGTGGGGGGGCGGGGGGGACGACACACCGCCCGGAGCTGGGGCCGCCGGGGTGCTGGCCGGCGGGTGGTGCGTGGAGGCCGTGCGAGGAGCACGGCCTGGCGGGCGGTGGGAAGGGCGCTGGAGGACCGCGGGGAATGCACTCCGTCCGGGGCTAGCGGTCCTCGGACTCAGCCGGCGTTGCCCCCAAGTCAGCCGGGCAGGCCCCAGCGCCTGGACGGAAAACGGGACAAAGCCGCGCTTCCTGTGGCTGAAATTACACTTGCCTTTTGTGAACTCGAAATAGGACAGTGAGAAGGTTTTCGGCGTATTTAATAAATGACGTGAGATTGTCTTCCATAAGGTCACTAGCCCAGAAGGAAACAGGCTTTTCTTCAGTCGTCAAAGGTCACTCCCGGCCCCTCTCCCCATGGGGGAACCCTTAAAGGCACAGAGAGCAGTTTGTAAACTAGTGCCAAAGATTTTTCACTTCCCGTTTAATCACCACCAGTTTCAGATGTAGAAACAGATCAGAAAATCATCTGGCCAAGGGCAGTAACGCGAGCTGGGCCCCTTCCGAGCCTGGGTCTGCAGGTGATGAACTGTGAGACCCCACTCTAGGGGTTCATCTTGCCCAGCGCAAGCACTTCTTTCTTTGATTGGGGCTGTTTCTTAAGAGCTAAGTGTGTGGTTTCACAACCAGAATTTCGAAGGGTACCAGGGTACAAGACTGAAATCGTGAGGCACATAAGGATCCATAAGGATCGATGCCCTTTGTTACTCCAACCTGAGGTAACAATATTCTGTTTCGTTAAGTATTGTCAGACCTGATTGGTGCTGGAGGTTTGTGCAGGGACCTGGATCTGCGTGGCAGGATTACGTTTTTTCCCTTTTGGTGGTGGGAGTAGAAAACGATGATGAGACATTTAATAACCTGGTTTAACAGGTGGGCTCGTATAGGTCCGGGCATGCCCTTCTCTGTGGTGGGGAATCACACACATAGGTAAGAAATCTCTTCTGTCACTGGAAAAAGATTCCAATTGGAGTAAGATCTCTTGATGAGTCCTATGTGTATATAACACATAAAGGAGGGCAGCCACGAAGTAGCAATATGAGTAAGTAGGCCAGAAGAATGGCCGCAGGCCATCCTCAGACATAGTAAGATCCTGTCTTGAAAAATAAATAAAAATAAATGCCAACCGAACATCTTTTAAAATATATTTTAATTCTTTGAAAGTTTTATACATGTATACAATGTATTTTGATAATACATCCCTCTCTCCCTAACTCCTCCCAGATCCACCCCCACCTTCCTACCCCCTCCCACCTTCTTATCCTCTGTTTTATTTTTTGTTTGTTTTATAACCCACAGTCTAATTTATGCTGCCCATATATTCCTGGGTGTGGGGGTGTGGCGCATGATCATCCTACCGAGGGCTACATTCTTACAGAAAACTCTCCCTCCCCTGGAAGCCATAAAACATCCATAGCTCTTTGGTTAGACCTAGGTCCACAAACCCCTCCCCATTCCATGCTGGAATGTTGACTGGTGTGGTCTTGTGTAGGCATCCGCAGCTGCTCTGAGTTTGTGAAAGCAGCAGTTGTGTGATGTTCAGAAGACATTGTTTGCTCTGGTCCTCTCCAACCTCTGGTTCATACGTTCTTTCTACAGCCTCTTCCAGGATGGTCCCTGGGCCTTGGGGGAAGGGACTGATACAGATGTCCTATTTGTGACTAAGCACTCCGCAGACAGTCTGTGTATTGACCAGTTGTGAGTCTGTGTATTAACTGTCATTCACTGCTCAAAAAAACTTCTCTTGAATTGCTGATGAGGTCTGAGAGGTACATTAGTCTATGAGTATTAGAGACACAAATTTAGAGGGCAGTTTGACACTATGTCTGTTTAGCAAAATGGTAGAATTCCTACGCTCAACCCTTGGGTGAGCTCCCTAAGTGTGGATTCTTGACCAGATTTGCAGCACCAAGCATCCATTTTCTCCTGTGAACCTAGCCTTAAAGCCAGAAAGTGGATGGCTACCCTCATAACATTTATGCCCACGAGCCTATCTTGCCACACTGGTTGTTACTGTACCTCACAGGATTCACAGCTAGGTGAGACTATTGGTGACTTTCCTCTCAGCAGCCTGCACAGCACCTTGCAGTACTATGAAAGCCAGCCAGCAGGAAGAAGCTTCCTGATCAGGGCCAACTTGCTTTCTCCATGTCCAGACCAGAGCGTTGCAGTGTCTTCAGCAATGGGGGGTCTTAGGGCATGTTCTGGTGGACAGTCAAGAGCAAGAGCAATAGGTGTATTGTTTTGGTGGTTTCTAGGACACCCCTGACCAACAATTCAAGGGGAGGTGTCCCACACCTGGCGCTGATCCCAACCTATGGTTTCCGGGTAGAGCATTTCCCTGTGTAGGGTAGCTCCAATTAAACTCTTTTATCTGAACACACACACACACACACACACACACACACACACACACACACACACAGGAAACATAAAATAGTAGGTGCCCATATAGCTTTCCCCAACACCCTTAGTGTTAGCCAACTATCCCTCTACCCCTCCTCTGCCCTACCATCCCACCCCTCTCCCCACTTAAACCCTTCTTCACATTCTTCTTTTCCCCTTCGTATCACCTGTGTTCGACTGCCCCCCCTTAAGATCTCTGCTCCTCTTCCCCACCAACGATCTCCTAGATTCACCTAGATTCTCCAGATACTCCAAATTAAACACACAAATCTAAAGATTTGACAAAGATCCACATAGGTGTGAGAACCTGTGTCTGTCCCTTTGGGTCTGGGTTACCTCACCATGTGTTCCAGTTCCATCCATTTAACTGTGAATTTCATAATTGCATTTTTCTTTATAGCGAAATAAAATTCCATTGTGTATAGGTACCAAGTTTTCATTATCTATTCACCCAACCCAGCACTTTTGAAACATCCTGCAATAGTTACCCATCGTACCTGTACAAAATGACAAACCCTTACTCTGGTGTAAAGGTCTTCCTGAGTCTCAGTTGCCCATCCTCCTCAGACCCACTCAGCACTAGCGCCATGCCAGTTAGCTCTTCGTTCCACAAAGGCAATAGTTTTTCTCACTGCAGGCCTGGGCCTCTTACATATACTGCTTTCCCTGTCTGACTACTTGACCGCTCTGACTGTTCTCTCTAACCCTCTCCACAGCTCATTTATCCTTCATTTTAACTTCCAGTTGCTTCCTCTGGCCGGCTTTCCTTCTGACCAAGATGAACTATTATGCCTTTCATCAAATCCTCTACTTTTTTCCAACACACTCAAATTTTAGAAGATACCATTGTTTGTGCTATGATGATGCATGTGCTTGCTCTATCAGATCCTTTTCCCCCAGGCCTGTAACAATTAATAATACACACTATATTCCTTATGCAGTTATCAGTGTTGATGTCTGCTGGCTCTGCTTTTTTATGCTTCATGTAGACAGGGATTTGTGTCCTATCACACTCAGTGCTTAGCAGAACCCTTCACACATGGTCAAGAGCTAGCTATGTATTTGTCAAATGAATGTTTGGGATCAGTCAGTCTACTCTGGGGGGTATGGAGATGGAGAGAGACTGAGAAAAGCCGAAGGGAGCCAGATTGTGAGGGATCCAAGAAAGGCATTGTACCCAGTCAGCCAGACATGCTGCGTTCCATATAGAACCATTAGCTACTTATAGCTACAAGCACCTGAAATGTGGCCAGGAAGGAACTGAATTTTCAACTTAATTTAAAATAATTTACATGTTGTAAAGTATGTTTGAAACAACTTTTGTATGTGAATCTACTTTTCTAACTATAAATTTTTTGAAATGTAAATATAGAATGAAATTTAGCATCCAAATTGAGTGGCATTATAGATGCTCTAGGTTTTGAGACCTTACACAAAAACATGAGTTAGTTAATCTTTCTGCTGATTTCATGCTGAAATGGTAATATTTGGATATATCATACTGAGTAAAACACATTGTTAGAGGTAGTTTCACAGTCTTAGGACTGGCAGCAAGGACACAGATCCTGTTCATAGTGATATTGTCTTTTTCCAAGTTAAAAAAGTGTGTGTGTGTGTGTGTGTGTGTGTGTGTGTGACAGTGCAATCACTTGCATACTGTGGTGCACATCTGGAGATCAGAGGACAAGTTTTAGGACTCAGTTCTTTCCTTCCATCCTGGGTTCCAGGGACAAAACTCAAATTGTCAGCTTTGCATGCCAGATACTTTACCCATGGAGCCATCTCACTAGCCCTCATAGCAGAATTTTCCCATCTTCCTTCCTTCCTTCCTTCCTTCCTTCCTTCCTTCCTTCCTTCCTTCCTTCCTTCCTTCCTTCCTCCTTCCTTCCTCCTTTCTCCTTCCTTCCTTCCTGCCTCCTTCCTTCCTTCTTCCTTCCTTCGTTCCTTCTTCCTTCCTCCTTCCTCCCTCCCTCCCTCCCTCCCTCCTTCCTTCCTTCCTTCCTTTTGATTTTTTATTTTGAAACAGGATCTCACTATACAGTCCTATCTGAGCTGGAACTTGCTATGTAGACCAGGCTAGCCTGGAACTCATAGAGATCCACCTGCATCTGCCTCCACAGTGTTGGGATTGAAGTTGTGTGCCAGCACGCCTAGGCTCAAAGCAGCATTCTTCTTTCCTTCCTTTCTTTCTATTTTCTGTGTATGACTTACTTTGCCTGCATGTAAGTGCACCTGTGCATGCATTGCCTGTGGAGGCCAGAAGCAGGCATCAGATCTCCTGAAACTGGAGTTATGGATGGTTGTTAGCTGCCATGTGGGTGCTGGGAACTAAACTCCACTTATCTGCAAGAGCATTCATTGCTCTTAATTGCTGAGCCATCTCTCCAGGCTCATAGCAGCATTTGTAACAGTACCTCCAAATGTAGCACCCAAATGTCTATCAGCTGGTAGACAAGCAAAATGTGGTTTAAATGGTAAATTTTATGTTATGTACATTTTTCCACAACAGAGAAATTAAAAATCAACTTCACTTATTTCTACTTGTTTTCTAATAGAGAAATAAAATTGTAGATGTGCCTTTCTACCTGTGCTAGGACAGCATCTGTGAGAAATGTCATTTTGCCATCCTCGAGGGGTGACCCAAGAGCACACCATCAGCAAGGCACACGTGTGGAGCGGGCTTCGGGAAGCCTCTCTGTCTGGCACCCAGAGAAATCTGGAAATTTGTCAGAAAGGTAATCAGGAATCCAGGTGTGTGCTTTAATATGAAGCTAACACAGCTTCTAGGCCGGAGGAGTAAGTACTGTGCCATATTGTGTCCATGTGCAGTTGTTACAAACGAGGATAACAATTTATCAGACTCTATACACTGTGTATCTGCTCCCTGTG